CCCTTGGTCAACATTTATCCAATAGTAGCATATCGGTGATTCCTTAGAGTCTACTTAGACAAACACACTATCATTATTGTAGCAACACATTGGACGGGCTATTTCAACTGTATATATACTTTTACAAAGGGGCACAATCGGGGTTTTACGCTTTACGCACTTGAGCATATAAGTAAACCTCCTATTTCAACAAACAATGCCTAACTTTTCGACACGATATATTTACGGGTATAGTAATTCTAGCAGGATTTCAAAACAAGTCACCGGAGATTAGAAAGCGGTACAATGGTTGAAACGTGTCGTGTGCTTTGCCGAGATTGGCAACAGAGGTGAAGTCAGCATATTTGTCATTAAAAGGAAAACGCATTGCAGAAACATTCGTTACCAAAAATGCATTGTCTAGTCAGCAAACGAGCATTTTGGCGTCTTGGGAGATGGTCATATAGGTTAAGTCACGGTCCCAAATTGCGTCCAATAACATTTTCCGTTCAGCAGAAAGCCGTATCACCACTCGTTTCAAAACGCATCAGCACGTTCGAACTTTCCCTTATATGGGGTAAACTTCGTTGCTAACATTGATGAATTATGGTTATTGTCGTCACATTCGAACACCTTTTTTCCCCTTACTGCTTTCGTGTACAACTTGCAGTATTCCCGTAATAACCTCATATTAGAATATTTTTACTATAGTATTACACAACCACTGTATACATCTGTCACAATTGGGATGTTTATTGTGAAAGATCACTAGATAATATACTGTACCGTAAACGTCACAATTTGCACGTTAAATGTCAACATTTTATGCGTTTCCAAACATTACACAGATACAACAGATCGTGCAGAATTTTGGACTTCAAGATCATTCATTCGAATGACAGTCGTGACAGCAAACTCAAAAATTGTCGTAAACTTAGTTTCGTGTAGTTACGATTTGTTTGTTATGTGGTTGTTTGATATGAACTAGTATTACGCTCAATGTCAGTGGCTGATACAGTCCACGGCGAAGTCGAGAGTGTCAACCAATGAATGCTAAGAATGATGAAATCAAGCGATACCCTATTTATCACATGAGCAACTCAGAGTTTTTAAATGACGTAATATACAAGATGAGAACATCTTCAATTTCTATCCGCGCCACCAGAAAAGGATCGCATGTTCTGTCTTTGAACAATCTAATCTAATCGGCCAGTCACAGTAAATATATATATTTGATGCATATATTTATGTACACGTTCATTATGGAATGGCTATAATATCTAACATTCTATACATACATACATACATTATACAGATTATTATAATAGACAATAGCAGTTTATTATACATACATTCATTTCAGTTTATTTTCCTTACACTTTATTGCAACAAATTGATGTGTACAATGTGTGCATAATCTATAATCTGCAACGTAGTTGACATTACAATAAACGTTACGTTACTAGTGTTCACCTTTCGTTTGAAATGAATACAGCGGAAATTCCGGTGATATTATATGCACATGTCTGATTATGTGCGTTAATGTGTGCCTTCATCATATTTATTGTATTTGTAGTCTAGTCAAATAACGTTGGAAAATTATTAGTCACGAGTTCTTAATATTTGAGGTATTTAATGTATTTGACCTATTTAATGTATAGTAATTCATTGCAAGTAATCTTGAGTAATTTTCACATACTAGATCAATTTGGTGTTTACAGTAAATATTTGTGTAGCCTGGCATTTCGTACAATCCAGTGATAGTGATTTCATCTGTGTTTGTCGATCCGTCATATTCTGGCGTTGGGGGGTAACACACGCTGCTTCCTAGCATCGGGCCGTGTTAGTCATGCTCACGATAATGAAAATGACTGCCTGTTAAAATATGAACAGTTGAAGTATGCAGTAGTTATTGTAGTGAATGGCGCTCTATTCATCGTAAAGAACTCTTATGTAATAGCCATACATGGTTTAAATATATATTCACAAACACGCAGTGCAGTTCCACTATTGTTGAAAATGCCACATTTAATATATCTGGTTTAGTTTTTATTACCGTTGGCCGTTGAACGAGTC